TGTTTTTTGAGACAGGGTCTTGCTCTGCCACCCTTGCTGGAGTGCAGTTATGTGATCACAGCTCACTACAGCCTCAGCTTGCCAGGCTCAAGGGATCCTCCCCTCAGCTGAGGTGAGGAGCTCAGACTGAGACTACAGGCGCCAAGTCGCCATGCTGGCCCATTTGTAGAGATAGGGTTTTGCCATGTTACCCAAGCTGGTCTCAAACTTTTGGGCTCAAGCAAACGGCCTGCCTCAGCCTCCTAAAGTGCTGGGGTCACAGGCATAAGCCACCATACCCAGCCTGTGTGTCACTTCTTTTAGGAGCTGTGAAGCCTTTTGGTAAAAGTTTATTATCCAATGATTAAATTGTTACATGACTTATTTAGGGAGTTTCTCCCTGCATTTAACATGGACAATATTTGGACACTGCAATATTTAGACGGTGGGACTTGTGAAACAATACAAAAGTTAAGGCCCTTTGCTTTGAGATGTTGTTTCTAGTTTTCTATCTAACAAAAATATAGATCTGTTGAATGCATAACCTGCTTGGTTATTTTGAACAAAGTAAGTAATTGAATCAATTTATAAAGTAAAAAACACACCTATTAGAATGGCTAGAATTCCCCACCCCACCCTACAAAAAAATGATAGTATTAAATGTTAGTACAGATGTGAAGCAACAGGAACTGTCATTCATTGCTAGTGAGATTGCAAAATGGTGCAGCCACTTTGGAAGACAGTTTGGAAGGTTTCTTACAAACCTAAACATAGTCTTACCATATCATCCTAGGTATTTACCCAAATGAGTCAAAAATATATGCACACAAAAAACTCCACACAAATGTTTATATATGTTTAGACCTAATTTGCCAAAACTGGAAGAAACCAAGATGTCCTTAAAATGGTAAATGAATATATGAACTGTGATACATCCAGTAATAAAAAGATATGGGCTATTAAAACTCAAAAAGACATGAAGGTTACAACTGATACCACAGAAACAGAAAAGATCATAAGACACTACTATGAATAATTATATGCCCACAAATTGGGTAACCTAAAAGAAATAAATAGGCCGGGCGCGGTGGCTCACGCCTGTAATCCCAGCACTTTGGGAGGCCGAGGCGGGCGGATCACGAGGTCAGGAGATTGAGACCATCCTGGCTAACACGGTGAAACCCCGTCTCTACTAAAAATGCAAAAAAAAAAAATTAGCCGGGCGAGGCGGCGGGCGCCTGTAGTCCCAGCTACTCGGGAGGCTGAGGCAGGAGAATGGCGTGAACCCGGGAGGCGGAGCTTGCAGTGAGCCGAGATCGCGCCACTGCACTCCAGCCCGGGCGACAGAGCGAGACTCCGTCTAAAAAAAAAAAAAAAAAAAAAAAAAGACTTAAATGAAACCATAAAACTACTAGAAGAAAATGTAATAAAAAAAAATAAAAAAGAAAATGTAAGAAAAAGTATTCTTGACATTGGTCTTGGCCATGACCTTTTGGATATGATACCGAAAGCAAAAACAAACGAGTGGGATTCCATCAAACTTAAAGGCTTCTGCACAGCAAAGGAAACACTCAACAAAATGAAAAGGCAACTTATGGAATGGGAGAAAATATTTGCAAACCATACCTCTGATAAGGGGTTAATATCCAAAATATGTAAGAAATTTATAGCAATAAATAGATAAATAAATAGTAGGTAAAGGACTTCAATAGACATTTTTCCAAAGACATACAAATGGCTAACAGATACACGAAAAGGTGTTCACCATTACTATCATCAGAGAAATGCAAATCAAAACTACAATGAGATAATCGCCTCACACCTGTCAGAATGGCTATTATCAAAAAGACAAGAGATAACAAGTATTGGCCAGAATGTGAAGAAAAAGGAGCCCTCGTGCATTGTTGGTGAGAGTGTAAATTGGGTATAGCCATTATGGAAAACAGTATGGAGGTTCCTCGAAAAATTAAAAATATAATTACCATATGATCCAGCAAGCCCCCTTCTAGGTATATATTGAAGGAAATAAAATCAGTATCTCAAAGAGATGTCTGCACTCCCATGTTCATTGCAGCAGTATTAACAACAGCCAAGACAGGGAAACAATGTAAGTGTCCGCTGAGGAAGGAATAGATAAAGAAAATGTGGCATATGTACACAATGAAATATTATCCAGCCATAAAAGGAAATTATTTCATTTGTAACATGAATAAAAATGGAGGGCTTACACTAAGTGAAATAAGTCAGATAGAGACAGACAAATGTTGTATGATCTCACTCATGCATGCAATCTAAAAAAGTTGAACTCATAGAAACAGAGAATACAGTTACCAGGGGCTGAAGAGTGGGGAAATTGGGGGAGAACGTGGTCAAAGGGTACAAACTTCCAGTTATAAGATGAATAAGCTCTGGGGATTCAATGTATGGAGTAGTGACTCTAGTTAGCCATATTATATTTCATAACTGAATTTGCTAAGAGAGTAGATCTTACATATTCTCACTACACACATAAAAATGGTAACTGAGGTGATGGATGTGTCAACTAATTTGATTGTGCTAAACATTTCACAATATATAGATATATCACATTAAAAAAAAAAAGGCATGGAGGAAACTTAAATGCATACTGCTTAGTGAAAGAAGCCAATCTGAAAAGGCAATATATCATATAACGCCAACAATAGGATATTTTGGAAAAGGCAAAACTATGAAGACAGTAAAAAGATCAGTGGTTGCCAGAGGTGTGGGAGGAGGATAGACAGAGGGATGAAGAACTGGAGCACAGTAGATTGAGATTGTTCTGTATGATACTGTAATGGTAGATACATGACATTATACATTTGGCAAAACCTGCAGAATCTACAGCATGAAGAGTGAACCATAAAGGAAACTACAGACCTTTGCTAATAATGGTGGATCAATTTGAGTTCTCCCTTTGTGACACACATACCACACTAATGCAAGGTGTTAATAATGGGGGAAGCTATCTGCTCAGTCATCTGTAAACTTAAACTGCTCTTTTAAAAAGTCCATTAATTTTTTAAAAATCAAAAGAAATGTAAAAACAATCAGTGAGGTTGGTTTTCAAACTGGTCACTGAAAAGGTTAATGCAACAATTAATGAGAGGAATGTAGGTTCAGAAACCAGTCATGACCAGAACTGTCTGCTATGAGACTATCAGAAGTAGCTATAGTCTCCATGCAATTAGTAATAACAGTTGAAATAACATCTACACTGATGTATACCATGGGCAGATTTATAGATAAGGAAGATAATGATACTTATGTGAGTACTTGTTTTTTGTTTTTTATTTGAGACAGAGTCTCACTCTGTTGCCCAGGATGGAGTGCAGCGGTGTGATCTCGGCTGATTGCAACCTCTGCCTCCCGGGTTCAAGCGATTCCTGACCCTCAGCCTCCAGAGTAGCTGGATTACCGGCATGCACCACCATGCCAGGCTAATTTTTGTAGTTTTTGGTAGAAATGGGGTTTCACTATGTTGGCTAGAACTCCTGACCTCAGGTGATCTGCCCTCTTCGGCCTCCCAATATATGAGTACTTTTAAAACAAGTGACTCCCTCAGATCTTGTTTTATTTTCACAAAACTTATTGTATCTGAACCTTGAAGTCTCATTAAGGTTTTATCCAACTGGTAAAAGTAGACTAGGATGCCTATGGAGAAATAAAGGTAAAAATCACGATGTCAATCTAACACTAGCCAGAGTTTTTACAGAGGAGACAGACTGCCCTGTATTTCGTTATTTATGCTTCTTACCCTTTCATTCTACATCTATGTGCAAATTAGCTCCTTGCTTCATATTAACTTTCAAATAGCACTCGGAAGCTTTCCATCTGACCTTTCTGTGGCCAGCAGGAGGAGACCAGGGAGCTTAACGCATTCCCATATCCTGGTTTCTGTGTCTAGAATTCTTGCTTTGAATTTTATAAAGCTACTATTCATACATCTGAGATAAGAAATTCAAATACAGTAAGATACTCATTATAAATAATGGTTTTAACCCTAGATGGGTTATAGTGAGGGGATTAGTTTTCCAATCTTCACTTTCTATAGAACACAGACTCAAAGAAAACACAGACTCTGTCAAAGGCTAGAACTCAAATCTTACGATAATTCAGTGCTCTTTTCATAAAAACGTGCTGTCTTTATATGATCTACATGCCTTACAGGTGTCCTATCCTGAAGGTAAGCAGTGGGTGTGTAATAGGTGACAATATATCTGAGTCACTTATAACACTGCCTGACACAAAGTATACTCTATGTGAGGGGCCAGTAAGCTTCTTCTGTAGAGCCAGACAGTAAACAGTTTAGGCTTTGCCGGCTGTAAGGTTTCTGTTGTAACTAATCAAAGCTGCGTTGGCAGCATGAAAGCAGCCATAAAAATGAACGTGACCAGGTGCCAATAAAACTTTATGGACACTAAATTCGAATTTTATATAATGTTCACATATCATGAAATATTTTTCTGATTTTTTCAACCATAAAAAATGTAAAAATGGATGTAAAAACAGGCAGTGGACTGGGGTTTTGGGGCACAGTTTGCTTTATATAATTAGTAGACATTATTATGATGTCTATAATATCTTTCTAGAAATTATTTTTAATGGTTGCTTAAACATAGAGTCTGTTTCTATGTTTTTTATTTTTAATGGCTGCTTAAACTGGTAGGAGAGGGAGGATTCAAACCCAGCTTGTGTGACATCAAGGCCCATGCTCTTTCATAAACAAGATTGTCTGGATGTTCTATAATTTACTTAGTCCCCTGTGGTAAGAATGTAGGCTATTTCCAATATTCATTATTACAACTCACCCTCCAGTGAACATCTGTGTAGTTAAGTTTTTACATGCACATAGTATTATACCCATACCTTAAAATGTATTTAGTGGTAGCTATCAAAACGGCTGGCAGGGGTGTGCGCGCGCCTGTAATCCCAGCTACTCCGGAGGCTGAGGCAGGAGAATCGCTTGAACCCGGGGGGCGGAGTTTGCAGTGAGCCCAGATCGCGCCATTGCACTCCAACTTGGGCAACAAGAGCGAAACTCTGTCTCCAAAAAAAAAAAAAAGGTTGACAGAGCATGTAAAGAAACAGACTCTAAAGAAGTAATCTCAAAAAGTAATCTTTTATGGTTACAAGTTCAGACATACTAGAAAAGGAGTTTTATAAATACCATATATATACATAGAACTTACGTCCCAAACACCATTTTAAGACCTTTATATATAATTACACCATTTAGTCCTCAAAACAATACTATGAAGTGCAGGTATAATTATCACTATCATCATCATCATTATCCCCATGTTCCTAAAAGGAAACTGAGGCACAGAAGGGCTAGGTAACTTCTCCAAGGTCACACAGTAAACTGGTAGGAGAGGGAGGATTCAAACCCAGCTTGTGTGACATCAAGGCCCACTCTCTTTCATACCAGGCTGCACTTGCCCAGTATGCACCTCCAGGTACTCTTTATAATGTGCCTTCACACAATCGGTGGTCGTCTTTTTTTATAGTGAGATCACATTTCACATGCATGAACGACCTCATACTCTAATAACTGGTGCCAATTTTAACCCATAATGGTACACTTTTGGTGGAAACTAGGTACCCATCTAACCTTCCTCTATTGTCCTACAAGACACCCCCGCACCAACGCCAATTCTTCATTAACTTTCCCTGTTTTTCTTACCCAAAATAGCTGTCCAGTAAACAGTAAAGGTGGATTGGAGCATACTCTCATGTCTTATTTTCCAATGTATGGCCCCAAATCTACATTCAGGTGGTGCTTTGCCTACAATGGAGGGCCCTGTACCGCCTGGGATTGCTAGTTTCGATTAAGTACCCTTCTTTGAAAACAAAAACAGTGGCACGTGTCAAAAGTCCCTCCCGCGCGGCCTCTTCCCCCTCTTCTTCCGCAGCAGGAGGCCTGGCCCCCGCGTCCTGCACCCGTCTGGACCAGACGTTCAGCCTCCCCCTCCAGACTCGGACGGGAACTCGCGCGCACTCCGGGGTATTCCCTGTTTGTGCTGAGTTACACGCGAATCTCCCAAAAAGGAGATATGCGAGTGGGTCGTCCAGCTTTGAAGGGAAACGAGGATTCCCTTTCTCATTTTCTCTCCTGATTTCTCTCCCTAACCGGACCGCACTTCTCGAATTATCCCCGTGGGGAGGAACGACAAATGCCGCCGGTCCCACCAAACTGCCGCCCCCCACTCATGCCCAAACAAGGATAGAATCTTCTAGCGAGGGAACAAAAAAATAAATAAGCGGGCGTTTCAAACCGAGTCCTCGGGTGTGCAGACCCGCCGCGGAGTCCCAAGCTGGGCGGGCAGTCCTGGCAGCGGCGCGGGGCTCCGCCCGCCGGGGGGCGCGGGGCGGCGGGCGCGTGCGCGTGCGCGGTACGGCCCCGGCCCTGGCCGCCGCCGCCCGCCGCAGCCGCCGCCGTCGCGATGCCTATTTTAGTCAAAGCGGCTGCGGGCTTGGGGACCCGGCCCGGGCAGCGGCGCTTCCGGACTCGCCGACCCGCCGAGGAGCGCGCGTCGGGCTCCCGTCGAGCAGCTGAGCCCGCGTTCCCCGCGTCCCGCGCCCCGAAGCTGCTGCTCCGAACTTTGGTCGGCGCTGCCCAGGCTCCCCGCCAGGGACCAGCCAGGTAAGGATGGGAGGCGCAGCTGCAGCCTGCTGTCCCCCCGCACCGGGCTGTGTGCGGCCTCGCGCTCCCCTGGCTAAATCGGGAAGCGAAAGTTGGATCTCAGCCCCTCGGAGACCAACTTTGTCTGCCCAGGGGGCTGTTGCTTGTTCTCCGCGCCCGGGCAGCCGGGGGCGCCGCCCTCTGTCCCTCCTCGCTGGCCGCGCCCTCGAGGGGCTCCCGGCCCTTGGAGGCCGCCCTTCTCCCCGGGTCTGGGCCCTGCGGCCACAGAGACCCTCAAGGGTCAGCGGCCGCCGCTCGGGTCAGGCAGCCCCAGCGTCCCCGGGTCTTCGTCCCCACCGAGCGCTGGCTCCCGCGCTCTGCGGCGGGCATGCCCCTTGGTGAGCTCCACTTATGCTCTCCCCGCCGGATCCCCGGGGTTCCTCGTCGCCCTCTGTAGGGCCACCGCGTGCCGCGCAGAGCCTGCGTGCAGCCGGGCGCGCAGTGTCGCCCACTCTGTCCCCGCTCCGAGAGTAGAGTGGGCCACGGCGCTCACTCCTCACCCCCGCGTCCCGAGACCGCCTGGCCGAGGAGGACCGTTGCGGCGGACCCTCCTTTAAGGAGCGAGGTCAGAGGACCCCGGGAGAGCGCCGATGGCTGGTGACCCGAGGTCCACGCCACCCACCCGCAGCCTCCTTCCCCGAGCCTTTGGGAACGGGTTGTTGGCCAGACAAGTCCCAGAAACTGCCTGCTTTGAAGCATGAATAAGTGCGAAAAGACTTAGCAATGTAATGCCATTTGCCATTCGGAAGATGTGTGAAGATTCAGTTAGAATTACAGAATGAATTAACTCGACTAGCAAGACTTGCTCGTTGCAGTTACCTTTTTCCGTTTTTTAGTTTGGTAAAGGTTTAATGTTAGTTTCAGCATTTAGCTATTTAGCCCTACAATCACCTATTTGAAAACCGATCAACGGAACTTTACAAGTATGGGTAACTTAAGGACTTCAACTTTGGTGATCTGATGAGGGAAAGATAATTTCTCTTGATTTAGTCAAAATTAATCAGAAAAGTTTACCAATTTAGCAGTCTAACCTTTCTCTTTCCACCTATTCTCTGTATAAGAATTGTTCAGTGTAATCCACTAAACGATTAAGTGGTAATCAAAGTAAACTGATCTGATCAATATTTTCAACAATAGGTAACTGACATTTCACAATAGACAATTATATAGATATATAGATACATCTGTATGCCTTTGCATGTATCTCTGTATATACATATCTCTTTAATAAGGTGTGGTTCATCAAAACATGCTTAGGATGACCCTGCCTTCTAAAAATTGCTAATATTTTTTGGTTCCTGGGTCATAATTGTAGTTTTCCTGTCATTTTTCTTGGACCAGAAATTGGTACTTTTAATGTCACTTTAAGAACTTATAAAAGCCTGATATTGAATTATAGTAGATTGATAGGCAACATAGGTGAAATTGGGTGAACTCGAGGGGAATATGTATTGATTGACTGATTATGTAAATATGTGTTAGAACCATAGGCTATTCAAATTTTCCCTATTCCAAGGAAGAAACAGACCAGAGGAGCAGAAATGGCTTTCCCTGGCTTATGTGGCTCCCTGGTGGCTTGTGGTATAGAACCTGACTCAACCTCAGGAAGGCTAGGCACTCTCCTGGCTTTATTACTGAGATGTGGGGAGACTGAACAGTGATTTCTAAAAGTATTTGTCAGGTTGAGGTTCCTTCAGAGTGGCTTTCTTCCCTGCCTCAGTGGCCTTCTCTACAGAGGCTAGGCCTTGGGAGTACATAGATAGATAAATATTGTCCCTGTCTCATAGAGGACAAACAGGACAATGAGAGTGTAGGTACATTCTACAGTGCTGTCGAAATGGTAGTTATTATTAAGCTATGTAATGCTAGGGTAGGTGATGTTAGGTTATGAGTGATAGAGGACATGTCATATCATTCTCTCTCCTGCAGAAGTTATGAGATTCATTTTCGTTTGGCCTTGAAAAGCAAACTTTGTATAAATGGACTTACTAAAATAATGATCTCCCCGCTATCCTGATAGGCTTATATATTTGCTGATTTCAGACATTTGGAAAATAGGTGAATTTTTGTTTCTTCCGTTTTTGTAGCAAATCAATATCTAAGTCAACTATTATTATTTACGAGCTATTTCAATATTATGTAAAAAGATCTTCAGTTGACTTGATCATTTCATTCACAGTTTGTAAATTGGTGTGTTTGTTTTTTATCAGCTTTAAGCTGTGGAATTCTTTCACATCTGTCTGTTAACATCCTTTCAAAATACCCATTTTGTACCAATTAATTATTCTACTCCCTAAAACCTTTACTTTAGTATGTTGAGAACAAGCAGAAAAGTAAGATTAATTGCATGACCTTATTTTGAAAGAAATACGTATTTCTAAATTTAGATGTATTTAGGGTCCCCATTTGGAATTTTCCTGAAGCAGAATAATTCATATATTCTGTAAACCTACATAGTATTTGGCAAGGACCAGATTTGTGCAATTAATAATAGAGTTTCTTTTAAGGACCAGAGACCGAAGACAGGTACCATAGGAAATGGTTTTATATAAGCATGTGTAAAATGTATATTTTTTAAATGTACTTGCTATAGACTTTAATATGTATAAGTAAACTGGAAGTTTACTACTTTTTAATTTGTGATATGCTACCAACTAGAATTATTATGGGAAATAAAGTAGAGATTTAAATTAGACAATAAAAGTTTCATGTTGTATCTCTCTGTGTATATATAAATGTTTATATGGCTGTATATTATTTGCATATATGATAATGTATTGTGTATGGTACAGTGATTTAATGGCGGTATACAAATCGAGCCTTCTGAATATCCTAAGCCTTCAAATAGACGTGAGGGTATTCATATTTTTTTAAGTATTCAGATAATTAGTTTTCTAGTTATTTTTCCTGTGTTTGGATTCAGTCACCAGTGGGAATTTGGTGGAAGACTAGACTAAATAACTTTGTAATTACCATGGTTTATGAGCATTGGTGATTGTCTTAAAGACTAATTCCCTCAATCCTCCCTTCCCTACAAGTCTGTATATGTATATATGTGCCTATGAGGGAATAGTTGTGTGCTATGCTAAGTATAATGATAAGTATGTATCATTTCATTTAATCATAAGGCATATGAGGTATTATTATCATCCTTTAACAGGTAAGGAACTGAGTACATTTAATATGTGACAGAGTTGGGATTTGAATCTGGGTCTGTCTAATTCATAAGCACTAGAGAAGTCTATTTAATTCACAGAAATAATTTTGGTATAATACCTATGGAGGTAAAAAGATACAATTGCCATTTTTATGATTTTACTTTTGTTTACTTGTTTTTACAGGAATTTTCAAAATGAATTATACAGAGTCCAGCCCATTGAGAGAATCAACTGCCATAGGTTTTACACCTGAGTTAGAAAGCATCATACCTGTGCCTTCCAATGAGACCGCTTGTGAAAATTGGAGAGAGATACATCATCTGGTTTTTCATGTAGCAAATATTTGTTTTGCAGTTGGGTTGGTTATTCCAACTACTCTTCACCTTCATATGATATTTCTTAGGGGGATGTTAACTCTAGGTAAGATACCTAACTAATATTTTATGTAACTTTTCTGTAACTTGACATAAGATGGGCTTTGCATTGAGATCTTCAGAGTATTCTTTGTCAGGCCCATAGCAAGCCAAAAAATGTAAGTCTTCGTTAATGAATTAGCAGTATATCAATTAGCTTAGGGCATAGGCCTTCACATGCCGTATCTCTCCCTTACTTACTTTGTTTATATGTTCTTTCATGTGTTGTTTAGGTTTTCCAGATACCAGAAAATTCATTCATGTGTAAGAGTGTGGACTTTAGAGCCAAATTGTGTGATTCAAATCCTGGTTCTACATCTTGTTAACTGTAACTTGGGCAAGTGATTTGATCTTTCTACTGCCTCAGTTTCCTCATGTATCAGATAAGGGTAAAAATAATACCACCTCCCAAAGTTGTTATGAATTAAATGTGTGTCATATATGTATTTAACTTGGAATATTGCCTGCACATAGTAAATACTGTATAGTTTTAACTATTATTACTTGAAAAGATATTTGCTGTGGGCAGTAAAGAATCACTGGGAACAAAAACAATTACCCAGATACAGTAGTTCAACTAAAACAAATTTTTTTTGGCCCCAGTAACCCTAATGAAGCAAGTTAAATTGATTCACATCAGAATATTAAAACAATTGAATCTGTTACTTTAGCCAGTGATTCTTGACAAATTACTCTCTATGTGATTACTTCCCTAATGGCCCATTTATTCAGGTGCATTTTTTTAGCACCTGTGATGTGTCAGACAAAGATTGAGGAAGGCCGTCTTCATCCTTGAGAAAGACACTCTTGTGGGGGCCAGTAGAGAAACAGATGGGCAATCCCAGTATGGCGTATCAGATGCTGGGATGCAGGTGTGCACCCATTATCCAGGGGTACACGGAGAAGGTGATAGGCTTAGTAGGAGGGCAGAGCAGGATCCCACTGAGGAGGTGACGTGGGACCTGGATTTTGGAAGATGAGCAGGATTTCTCTGAGTGAATGTGTGCAGTATCCGAGCGAAGAGCACAGAAGAGAAGGAAATTGAGCATATTGGGATGAACATAGAGTAGTGCATTGTGCTTAAAAATATATGATAAATCGGCT